GCAAAGAAAAAAAAAAAAAAAAAAAAAAAAAAAAAAAAAAGTGAGAATGACTGAAGTGTGAATGTGGATGATCATAAGAGCGTCTGGAAGATGTCGACTTACCGTAATCATAACCACCACCACCATATCCATAGTAGCCAGAAGAATAGTCATAGTTGCCATAGCCTCCGTAACCACCATAGCCCTGCTGGCCACCGTAGCCATAGCCTTGGTTCCCGTAGCCCTGGTTCCAGTAGCTGTTATAGCCCTGGTTCCAGTTCTGGCCTGGGCCTGAGGAAATGGGTGCCATTAGGTCAATGACTGAGACTGGGGTTTATAGTAACGTAATAAGCTACTAAAGCAAGCCACTTACCCCCGCGACCCCTGCCACGACCCCCGAAGCCTCCGCGGGCGCCGTACTGCTGCTGCTGGTAGATTTCCTTGGGCTGGGCGATTTTGATCTCGCACTGAAATCAAATCAGAGACACAAACAGATGAGAGCAAGGGCAAACTTTAACAGGCTTTATATATATATATATATATATATTTACACATAAAAAAAAAAACAGCTTTATTCTACCCCAGAAAGTTAAAAAAAATAAAGTTATGGTAATTGCAAGGTGTGTGTGTGGGGGAGGGGGGAGTCTAAATTGTGACTTCATCTAAAAATGTCAATTTAGGGGATGTAATAAATTAGTAAGTAAACCATAAAAAAAATTTAAATGCAATGACTTCACAATTGTCCATTTAGGGAAGATAAATGGAATAGTAAATAGAATTAATAATCGTCATGATTATGATTTCACAATTTGGACTTTCTCCTAGCAATTGAGTTAAATATAATATTATATTTGAGTTTATTACAAAATAAGTTATAGGTAACTGCATCTCGCTCACAATTCTGACTTTTCCTTCACAATTCTGCACTCATATCTTGCAATTCTGAAGAAAGCTAAGAACTGTGAGATGCTGCAATTACCCCCCTCTTCCCCCCCCGGCAAAAACAAGCTGCCATAATACACACACACACCACACTGTAACTTTAACCCACAAATTGACCCACCATAACTATGCATCTATTGCAAAAACATGGGAGAAAAACACATACCAGGTCTTCCTTTCCGTTCATTACCTTGCTTCCACAGACATTATGGTATTTCTTCTCCAGGATCTTTTTGACAGCAGATTCGTCCTTGAAAGTGATGAAGACGAAGCCCCGCCTTTTGTTTGTCTTTGGATCCATTGGAAGTTCAATCGTTTCAATCTGCAAGCATCATAATCGATACAGCACTAATAAAAGTCAGAAGACACAAACAAATGTTTTTATGCTCAATAGATTTAAAACTCACCTCTCCGAAGGCCCCGAAGTATTCACGGATCTTCTCTTCTGTGGTTTCAGGGTTAAGGCCACCGACGAAGATCTTCTTGGCGGGCTCTTTCTTTATAGCCATGGCTCTCTTGGGATCGATCTGTCGGCCGTCTAGCCTGTGTTCCTTTTGCTCCAGCACCTTTCAAAAGAGGAGACGTGAACATCCGCCACCAAGCAAGTGTTTGGATTGAAGGGAAACGAAAGCATACGTACCCTGTCCACACTTTCTGCTTCTTTGAACAAGATGAACCCAAACCCTCGTGACCGGCCGGTGTTTGAATCCATCTTTATGGTGCAGTCCATCACCTCGCCGAACTTTGAGAAGTAGTCCTTTAGGTCTTTCTTACTGGTGTCCCAGCTGAGTCCTCCAACAAACATTTTACTGCACAAAAGAAAAAACCAAGTAGATGAGAGCCTGTATTAAACCACAAACAAAGAGCAATCTCATAACATCACAGACAAAAAGACAGCAACAGTTGGATTTCAAATCAATTTATAAAGCACCTTAAACAGAGTGTACCAGAGTGCTGTACAAATACATAACACAAAATACAAAGATAATACATGAAAATCATTAAATCCAATCACTTTCTCCATAACGGAATAAAGTGTTAAAAAAAAAAAACAGACCTACAATGTTGGTAATCGGTGATATGCTTTCATTAAAGCCATCAGCACACATTCCAACTTACTTCATAAAGCAGTCAAAGAATTCCTAGTGAATAACTACATTACCCATAATTCTGCAGAGATGCCCACCAATCAGAAAAACCACAAGCAAATATACTCACAACTCATTTCGCAGTAAACATTGACTCCATATAAACACAAATATAAACTCATTACATCAAGTTATATTTTCCCACTCCTTACCTCAATTGTCATTCATAATGTACTACCCGATTTAAAGCTGCCAAATAGACATTCTGTCAGATTTTATTTACGTGACTCACAATTCAAGGCTGGTTGGTATGATGCAAGACCATTTAAAAATCCATATGGAAAAATGAATGGGGAAAAAATTAAATCTTGAACTAGATGAAAAGTGGGCGGGGACTATTGCGCGCTATAGGTACGATTCTAAAATCTGATTGGACGAGCTTGTGACCACTTCAACTATATTAAGACTCAATAGCTTAGCAACCATAAACAGTCTATCGGCTAATGTTAATGAAGCAAATTACCATGTGGATGAAAAGGGTTTCTATTGTTGGATTTAATAAAGCAACTTTAGACGGCGTGTTTGCGATTGTACCGCTGTAAGGTCGGTTAATGCGCTCGCGTCGTGTACCGGCAGATCAAACATCTGCTGCCACCCGCCAGCGAGAGATTCACCCCCAAACAACCTTCATTTCCAACAATGAGCACAATAACCGGACAGAAGAACCGAACCAGAACCCCCCCCTCTATTAACAAACACACGGCGCCAACAGAGACGCCTTAAAACAAAACGTCTACATTAAGCATTAAAACGCAATAAAGCGCTCAATATTCTCACCCGGCATCTTCCTCGCCTCTGCTGGCGTTGATCTGTCCTCCCTCGCCGGCTCCGCTCTCCTCATCCGCGGCCTCCTCCGCGAGCTCTGCTCCGTTCAGACTCTCCTCATTCCCGTTCTCGGAGGTTTCCATGAACTGATGCTCTGCGTCGGCCATTTTGGTAGCTTTAGATTACCTTTGGATCAGAAATGATTTGATTTAGTTTCACAATGCGAGATACTACGGTTGATGCTAGAATAATAGAGCAGCGGCATGGTTAGGCCATCGGATTCAACGCAAACGCTCAATTTCAGTCTTAGCTTGATGAAAACACAAAAAACCAAACGAAATCAGGCTTTAAAGCGTGTTCGAAACGTATAAAACGCACGTGGCTCAAAACAAACAAATAAAAAGACTCATTCAGGCCGCGTAACGAAAGCTAAAGCAGCATGCAATGCTAAACTAGCTAAGCGATCGCGTTTGCATTCTTTTTCAGCTACGCCGAACGCATGAAACAGGCTTTTTCGTCTAAAACGGTGTCTTACAGGTATTCTCGTAAAACATAAACTAGCCCAACACAACTAACCACGCGAATAAAATTAAAATTAACCGGCTTACTGTAAAATATTGGCGCTGAAAATGCCGCTTTCCAAGATGGACTCTCGCTTACAGTACTAACTCGTGGCCACCTTTATAGTACCGGATGAGTCCGGTGGAATAAAACAAGCTGTGATTGGACGACACTGTTTGACCAGGCAATGATAGCGTTCTTTGATTGGTCAGAGACGGTGAAGCACCGCCCATTATGGTTTCCTCCTGCGCACTTCTTTTCTGTTGTACGCTCAAACGGTTTAGCACGAGCAGTATAAAACACGATGGTGAAGGTGTTGTGCAATCAAACACAATGAATATAAGCGTGTATAAAACGGTATAACATCCAGTAATGCTTGTTAGGCTTCCCAATCGATTTATATGATTTCCACCAGTCGTCGATGAAGGACTGCACTCACAAAGAGGAAATTCTAGCAGAGCTGAGGAAGATTTCATTCATTTTCGACCTTTATAGACAATTTTCATGATCAATTTAGGCCCTTTTTTGTATTACTGTCTTCTTTTTTGGACATCATTACTATAACATAAGTACCACCCACATTTCAGTTAATAAAACTAAATCTGCGTCGATTGTTGATATGTTTTTCTCGAAAACAAGATACTGTAACAATTTTTAATGTTTTGCAGAGACCAAAACCAGTTATTGTTTAATCCTGGACATAATATAAGTGCATTATTTCACGAATCATCCTATGCATGATATAAATTTTTATATAAATACATGATATAAAGCTGTATTTCAGCTTCCAGAGTGAAAGGTAAATTATGCTATTATAACAAAACACTCCAAATTGAGGGTGAAATAAAACATTCCTGGACCTTCGTTTGCTGAAATAGTAATATTAAAGTGACAAATGGATTGCTACTGTAGTACTAAACAAAAACAAATCATATACTCAACCCAAAATCAGCAACACTTTATGTAACAAACATAATCAGACAGCAGGTATATAAATGTGTCAAAGCTTTGCTCATTCACACATAAACTGATAAATAATTGCTACAGGATTCATAGAATCCAGCTTTTTCTTTCTACCTAACTGACGCAAAACCTCATATACTGTATATACGTCAAGTAGATCATGAGTAATATAACATGTAAATTGACATATGATAGATTTTTATTAGATAAAGAATAATTGTATGGTGAACTGATGTAGTACAAATTGGCATCAACACAACAAAATTGGTATAATTTTTTTAAATCTTTTTTTTTATTCAATTTTCCATATTTTGCATTCCGTTCTTGGAAATGTACATCTTTATCGGGTTCCGATGGTCACCTGCCAAACTCTGATCAGGTTGTCTGTGTATCCAGCAAAGAGAGTCTGAGAAAAATAAATAGAGTGTAATTAATTACTTTTTGTTTGTCCAATTGGTTTATATTTAAGATTATACATAGCACACAATGCCACCGATCACCCAGAGATCCAGCATCCAAACTGACGCTGATTATCTGCAGAATAAGCTCATCTCACACACACACACACACACACACACACACACAGGTGACTGTGGCCCGCAGGAAGCTCTCACCTGTCCATCAGCAGACCAGGCCAGAGATGTGCACTGGGGCGGCTCAGCCTTGCTGTTAGTGGTGATGACTTCCTGTTTGAGCTCATCAACGATGATCTTTCCCTCCAGATCCTGTGGAGAGACAGAGAGACACGACAGTAATGAGAGAGAGAGAGAGAGAAGAGTGACTGGGGTGCAAATGAACACCAAATCAAACCCTCCGAATGCCAAATATGTGACCCTGGAGCACAAAACCAGTCATAAGGGTCAATTTTTTGAAATTGAGATGTATACACTATCTCAAAGCTGAATAAATAAGCTTTCCATTGATGTATGGTTTGTTAGGATCGGACAATATTTGGCAGAGACACAACTATATGAAAATCTGGAATCTGAGGGTGCAAAAAAAAAATCCAAATATTGAGAAAATCACCTTTAAAGTTGTCCAAACCCCATGGAAAATAACAATGTTGTATGTCTAGAGTAATCTGCTTGCTTTTAAGGTATGATACACAGATCATAGTTGAGGTGCGATAACGATAAATGCACAGCTCATGGGTCACAGTCGATGTCTGACCTCATAGACAGGTACAGTCCTCTTCACCGCCTTCTTCTCCAGGTCCCAAACCGAACAGATTTTGTCTCGGCCAGAACTGAAAATGAAGACAGCAAATCTCTGTTAACATTTGACAATTATAAGGAAATCTGTGACCCTGGAGCACAAAACCAGTCATAAGGGTTATGCATCATCTGAAAGCTGAATAAATAATCTTTCCATTGATGTATGGTTTGTTAGGATAGGACAATATTTGGCCGAGATACAACTATTTGAAAATCTGGAATCTGAGGGTGCAAAAAAATCAAAATATTGAGAAAATCACCTTTAAAGTTGTCCAAATGAAGTTCTTAGCAATGCATATTACTAATCAAAAATTAAGTTTTGATATATTTATGGTTGGAAATTTACTAAATATATTTATGGAACATGATCTTTACTTAATATCCTAATGATTTTTGGCATAAAAGAAAAATAAATCATTTTGAACCATACCATGTATTGTTGGCTATTGCTACAAATATACCCCAGCGACTTAAGACTGATTTTGTGATCCAGGGTCACATATTCACATTCATTCAAGCAGATCCAAAATGCAAGAAAAATCTAGTTCAAAATCAGTGTTTCCGCAGTTATTAACTAAATGATCATTAGTGTATGATTTGTATTAAAAATAAAAGCATTTTGATATAGGATAATAAACGTCATTAAGTGGTGAGACAAATTAATCAGTCAATTGACGGTTTGAGATGATCCACCCAAGTCAGCAGCCAGAACTCAGCAGCTCTAATTCCATCTTTGTTCATTTTACATTGAAAATCATTGCAATACATGCTACATTTAAAATGAACATAGATGGCATTAGAGCTGCTGAGTTCAATTCATTTAGGTGAATCGGTTCAAACTGTCAATTGAACGTTTATTTATTCACCACTTACAAATGTCAATTTCGTCTTGCGATTTCAATTAATCACCATTGAAAATGATTGTAATACATGTTAAATGTTAATTCACTGAAATCACCAGACAAAAACAACAATTTTAAGTGGTGACAAATGAATCATTAAATGAGTCATTTTGTTTAAAACAGTTTGAATCAATTCATGGTTATCAATTAAACTTACCAGCTTTAACGCCATCTTTGTTCATTTAAAATGTAATGTAATGCTTTTCAATGCTGATTATTTGAAATCACTAGTCAAAAACAACTGATTCAACCAAAAAGAACTCTTATGCCACCTTTGGCAATTTTAAATTTAAAATGTATTTGCAATGATTTTTAATGCTGAACCAGTTGACCAATATGAGTTTTTCCATGAATAATGCAGATATGAAAAATCCAAATAATAGCTGAACGTCCAGCATGACAAAGTTCACAAACTACATATATATAATTGAAACCGAGTTATGATATATGAAGTAAAAAGAGTGAAACGGCACAATAAATCAGAGCATGACCAAACGGACACCATCCTGCCAAGATACATGTGTAAATCCAGGCATAAATGGTGTGTTTAGGACAGAGAGCTGATGGTACCCAGATCTTGATGCTCGGTCCTGTGGCGGCACACAGCCAGTATCTGTTGGGACTGAAGCAGAGCGCGTTGATGACGTCACCGCTGTCCAGCGTGTACAGATGCTTGCCTTCGTTCAGATCCCAGAGCATGGCCTGTCCGTCCTGAACACAGAGACACAGAGAACGTCAAAGCACCATCCTAATGAGAAAGTCATCTAGCATGACGAGGACACAGAGCTGCAGGAAATGATGCAAAAATTCAAGATCAGTCATTGGCCTAGATGAAGTTGAAACGGTTCTGTCCTTTATCACTAGTCAAATTTTTAGATGCCACAGACCAGTATTATATTAGAATTATTGATAAACCATTATAACTTTTGTTAACCATTTTAATTATATTAATATTTTTAGAAATATGATTTATTTTTTCGGTTTTCATTTTAATTTTTTTTATAATTTTGTTGTTTCTGCCATTTTTATATACATGTCTGTATTGTTTTTTATTAATTTGTTTTTAATAATTATTAATAATAATTTGTTAATTATTAATTAATTTGTAGTTATACATTTATTAATACCCCAACTTTAAATAAACAAAAATGAGTGTTATTGTATAATAAAGTATTATTTTAGTTACTTTTTTTTTTTTATTTCAAGTAATATTTTTTTTCTTTTAATGGTTTTAGTTTTAGCTAGTAAGGGATACCCATCCTAAAATTTAAAAAGCACTTATATATTTTCATGTATAAAGACATTTGTTTTTCCTATGAACTATTTTTATTGACTCCATAGTACACTCCCTTGCGGGCCCCAGTTTGAAATCCTGGTCTATATGATTTTCTGCAAGAAACGCATCCTATGTTCATACATTGACCCTAAAACAGTGAAACCGACCTTTCCACCAGAGGCACAGAGCGATCCATCAGGGGAGACGGTGACGGTGTTCAGGAAGCCGTTGTGTCCGATGTGATTGGTCTTCAGCTTACAGTTGGCCAGATTCCACACCTGAAAGAGACAAAACACTACGAGTGAAAAGATTGTCCATACTTACGTTCAGTGCTTAATTTGTAAATGAAACCTTGCCGGATCCAAATCAGCAGTTAAAAGGCACAAAACAACTTCAGTTTTAAAATATACAATTTAAAACTCGCACAGTGCTTAATTTGTAAATGAAACCTTGCCGGATCCAAATCAGCAGTTAAAAGGCGCCGTGACCGACGCTGACAAAACAACTTCAGTTTTAAAATATACAATTTAAAACTCGCACGCACGCACGCACGCACACACGTCTGGTTTGCTATCCTTGTGGGGACTCTCCATAGGCATAATGGTTTTTCTACTGTACAGACCGTATATTCTATTGCCCTACACCAACCCTACACCTAAACCTACCCCTTTTAGATTTATAAAAAACTTAATTCTGTGTGATTTATTAGCTTGTTTACCCGTGAGGACCTCAATTTAAGTCCCCACCGTGACACGAGTCCCCATGAGTCTGTGTGTATTCAGGTTTA